AGCACAAGCCAGCTAGCAAAAAAGTCTACGAGCAGTAATTGGGTAAATTAGCACGGTGAGATTTGAAATTTAAACAATGATTGTCTTCTCATTTCCTCAAGATTTAAAAGAAGAGGCCAGTACCTAGACTGACAAACTTGCAGGTTTTTAGAAGACTACTAAATACCACTTTCAAACAACCAAGACATTTCTCTCACCTAGGCACAAAATGTAATTTCAAGTGCCTCAGAATGTTTCCCTGATAGTGTAATACAGGGGCATTTTACTATTACAAGTGTGGCGCCTCAGTTTGTGCAGTTCTGCTTGCCTGTTGGGTAACTATTTCAGATTAAAAAAATGGTTTTAGTAAAACAAAAGTCTTGAATAGAGCTGTAGCACTATTGCAGAGCTCACGTTTATTTGAGGGGAACAAAAGGTTAGAAGTGCTATGATATTTGCAGTAATCTTGTTAAACAGTATGGAAGGAGCAAGTCTGGCAGCACAGTGGCTCTTAAACATGTAGCCGAACATGGTCAAAAAAGCAACTGTAAGAATAACAGTACCACTGGAAGAGAATCCAAATCTTTTCTGTTTATTCAAGTTATCATTTAACCTGTGCTTTATTCCTGTTAAAGAAAAACAGTGCAAGTGTAGTTAGTTATTATCTCTTAACTGGCCTCACAGACAGTGATCAGTCATTAGTTGGTCCTTACTTTTCAGAGAAAAAAAGATTTTTTCTCCCCTCCTCCATGAACTGTGAAAAAGAATCATGCACAACTTACTAGTTCAAGGAGGAGAATGAGCAAATCAAATGGAATGTTTTTCTAGGGACGTTAGAGACCTGACATCTCTAAGCCCTTCAGAAATTCCACCCTAAAATGGAAGGCAAGAGCTCCATACACCTTAACTCCTTCAGTAAAAGTCATAATCAGAACATAATACAGCAAATTGCTCCACCATCTGTGTAGATTGGTAGAGCCCTTAAACTATGGATGGTACTCTTTCCTCTAAGTATACAGAGGTAAAAAAGAAATAATATTCAGTATTTTAAGGAAAAGCTATAAACAAGGCTTTTAGATACCTACTTGAAAGTCTTTTTTTTTTTCCTCCTCCTCTCTCCATCTTGCATTTTGGCATGCTAGGGCCAAACACTAAGGAACTTAAACAAGTACAGATTTTTAAATAACCAAGTCTGTATGTTTTCTTTTAAAATATTATAAGGCTGTTCATTCTCTATACAACCCCAAAGATCGGTTTCTGTTTTACTTTTTCTGTGTTGTACAATACTACTAAATGACACAACACCATCTGGTTCAACTGCTTCAAGAAGAAGCAGTTGAATCTTAAGAATGGTCACAACTCAATCAAATCCCAAGTGAAAACTAAAAAGCTACACACAAGTCCTAACTTTTCCTTCCCTCTCTTCCAAACAGGTTGAATGTTGAAAGCCTGACGGTCACCACAGTATGTGGCTGCTGTATGCCACTAACACTTCAAAAGAAGGAACTCCAGCTACCATGCCACGATCCAGATAATCCTGGAAAAAATCTCATTACAGAAATTACTGTATTTAGTGGCTGTGTTTGTGACTTTGACACCTGCAAACACTAGCCAGACCTCCAGACTGCCTCGGACAAAACTTTTTTTTTTTTTCTTTTTTTTTTTTTTCTTTTTAATTAAATGGTGATCACAACTTAACAGTTAACACTTTGTAATGACTGCTCATTGCTGGGAGCTCTTTCCTGCATTGATTATAAAGGTTTAGCTTTGCCAGGAGACTTCCTGAGCAGCTACCTGGAGTGCCAATGAACTTCATGGAATGATAAATTATGCCTAATCCTGGGGCAGAGGGAAAAAAGGGCAAGTGGGGATAGGAGGGAAGGCCACATCCAAGATGGTCTGGCCTTGCTCAGGGCAATATTTAACCAGAGGCTAAAAGCTTGCCTATGCACTGTGCAATAATAGAAACTTGATTTTCAAATAAAGCAGAAGAAATGTAATGTGTTAACTCATTTATCATTGTTTGACTAAAAACAATAGCAAAACTGCTGTTTTGAAAATAAACCACTTTGAAATAAGTCCCAAGTGCAAACACTGTAATTGTTAAAAGCAGGAAAAGGTATTCTACCTGTTTATTGTGGCAGACACTGCTGGTGTTAAAGACGATAGGAAGAAGGATTTTTCTACTAAGAAATAGTAGAATTCTACATTATAACACAGAACAATGAAAGACCAACTCTATGGGGACAAGAAGTCTGTGGACCAGGTAAGACTAAACACAATCCACCAGTCTGCAACAGAAACATTATGTATGTTTGTTCTGTAACATTATATTTTGCACAAATCAAATACAACGCACATTCTTTATGCTCCCACTTCCCCAGAGAAAGAAGGACAATTTGATTACTGTTCTAATCATTTATTTAATCTTCACATGTTCTGATGAATATATTGTCTAATATATAGTCTTCTATATGAAAATTCTCCACTTAATTTGACAGAACTTTTGTTTTATACAAATAAGACAATCACCATAAATGTTACATACTGGAGTGTAGGTCAAGAATGCACATATGCTATGTCTTGCTATTCAGTTATTTTCACATGTCAACGCCTGAAAATACTGTACTTTAAAACAATAACACTGTTTACTGCAGAAAGTTACTTTGTCTGCTTGAAAGGATACATCACTTTGGTAAATCAACCATCAATCACAAAAAAAAAAGTCATCAAGTATTTGTCCTTAGTTTGTTCGTGGTTCTGCCCACGGCTTCACTGAGCTGACATCATCAAACACAAAATGTGGACAGTCATAAGCTTAATACAGCCACCACGCAGAAGACACTTCTCCTAGGCCCCCTCCTTGATGTTTAATGCACATTTTAGCACAGCTTGAACCAAAGCGAAGTGAAATAAAGTAGTACAGCATGTCTCAAGGTGCCCCTCAGTGAGGGCACAATGTTTGCAGAGGGACAGATGTGCAACGTGATTTGAACAAAGATAAAATAGCAGCTCTTCCCCATTTCTGCTAGAACTCCCTTTTGCAGAGCTTAGTTCAGCACATCAGATTTTCAACACTGCAGCCAACAGGAGGGGGATAAGATCATGGGATCACTACAGGGATCTACCACTTCCCAAAGACAAAAAGCACAAGGTAGTTCCGTAGCATTTTTCAGCTGCTCAACCTCATTGCAGGAAGCCCTCATGGAGATTTTTCAAAGACAATTTCTGTGACTTGAGCTTTGATTAACTACTTGAAAGGCTACTGAAAGGCCAGTTGCTGAAGAAAACTGTCAAAAACCCCTGGTCTATAGACAAGCTTTCACTCACAGCATCCAGAGTTACCAAGCACTCCTGGAGCAAAAAGCTTTGTTCCTCAACTGTCACTGGCGTTCAAGTGTGATCACTGGCCCTAACCGAAACCAGAGGAGAGCCATCCAGTTCCATCACCTAACTCAAAGCACAGGGCCAGGGGGAGCGAGGCACATTGAGCCATGCAAAACCCTGTCTCCAGAGAGCACTGGGCAGTGCAGCAGGTGCCTCATTCAAAGGGGCTGTTTCAGCTTCATGATCGTTACTTGAACTCTTCATTGCACGGACAACCTGGGCTGTACGCTTTGCAAGACAGTCACAGGCCTCCTTTAACAACCTTCAGGGAGTCTGATATAAAATTCACTTTTAACGTGGGCAGCAGCTGACTTTGTTCACCCTGGCCAGCACTTCCTTGCTGGTAACTGCCCACAGTTTCTAACTGTGGTGCCTCACTTGCCTTGCTTTAGCAGCCCTTGGGGCATCTGAAGGCTTGAAGGATGTAAACCAAAGATATGTCCAATTATTTCTGCAGAGAAGCTGCTGAGAGTTTGCTGGCTGATATGGAAAAGCTATGAAGGCTCTGGTTGTAAAAGCCACTAAAAGCTCAACATTTTCAGCCTTTCTACTCTTTGATCTAGAGGAAACCAAACACCTATCTCCTACACCACACTGGCTGTTTTCATTATCATCAACAGACAAGAAACTGTTCAGGTATCAGCTATTCAACCAACTGAGCTCTGTAGTGACTATACCCTGGGGAAAAAAAAAAAAAAAAGTTATGTTTACATTTGTGTCTGCAAAAAAAGTGCATGCCTTACAGCCTTCATGGCCTGTTTCTTTCCTCTTCTATTTTCATACAATACCACAGTGATCAGAACCCATTCTCTCTGCATTTAGTTATAGCACACCATGGGGACTGCTATTTGCTAAATCTGATGGAAACAGAAACCACAACACAGACTTTTTAACCTCTGTTTGACTAAACATGAACAAGCAAGTACTGGTTCAACACCTGCCATAGAAGCTCATCTCATTCCTCGAGATGAGCAGAAAGATTAAGAATAGCCTTTGTGTTGCATCCACTTTTCAAAAGCTAAAAGAAAATGTGTAAAGGATTACAAGATTATTAATTTAAGAGTTTGGTCCTGTGGTATTTTTCACGTGCAACAACAAAAAAGTGACATTTAGCATAAGTGCTCACTTAGACCAGATTCAAATACATCTTGTAATCCACCCATTTCATCCCATCCAAAACTTGTGGCAATGTTTTCAAACATGTACAAATTCAGCTAAAACAGAAGCCATGCAACAAGAAGCTGACTCTTGACCTCAATGCTCTCAGTCATTTAGGCTTTACATTAACAGGCAAATTCATCTTACCGAGCTGCATTACGCTGGTTTCTTTTAGCTCAGAGCAGAGGGAGCACCTATTAAGGGTGCTAAGGCAGAATGTTACTGGCAATTTCCAGCTGAAATCCTTAGTTATCGCATTTAATTAGTTTCCCTTGAATACATTTAAAAGAAGCCTGACCTCTGCCAAACGGAGCACAAGGCAGCTCTCCCACCCTCTGTGTAACGGACACAAAAGCCATTTTTAATAAAAAAGCCATTTCCCCATACTGTTCATTTTATAGTCTTAATTTCAAACAAGGGACAAGTCCTATTAAGGCAGGGAGCTGGTATTGGTTAACATTGCAGTACTCAGACAGTGATGTACAAGACATTTATTTGCAGTATGATAACAATGATATAAATGGGAAAACAAAACAATGACATGGTTAATATTAAAATTGTTCTGACAGCAATTCACATAATCTCTGAGATACAGCTTCTTTACTTGTTCGTAGTGTGAGCCTATACATCTGAAAAAGAACATAAAGCATAGTTTTGTGTTAAATGAACTGCACAGATAACCAGTCACCACTTGGCTTTGTTAGATTTGGTAGGAAATGATCTCAACATTCAAAAGCAGCCAGTTATCAAGTAATACAGCTCTTTCAAAGCACAGGCTAGAGCAGGTCTTTCATTTCTTGTCCACAGAACAGAAAACATTTTCTCCTATTTCTCAGCTTTTAACTGCAAAGTGATGCTCAAGATCTGTTTTAGAAGCCTCCAAAGGGAGAAAACACTTTTCTGAATAGCCCACTCTTTACCACTACTTGATCAATAAAAGGGAGACCCATCACGCAAAGCTTATTTTTATAAGCAAATGGTACTGCCATATGAGACAAAGCCTCAATGAGCTCAGATTAAAGCTCTATCAAGAAGCTTTAAGTCAGAAAAAAGAAATCATCAGGTTTGGGTCCATGTGCTAATGTTTTCCTTTAGCCACAGCAGTCTTCCATTAATATAACAGACAGAATTGTACTTAACCTTGGTGCAAGGTGCATAAAAGGAAAAACCTAAATATTTCCAACCTTTAGAAGAAGATTACACTCCGTGGACTGTCTAGAATAACACAGTGACCCTTCACAACAGGAAAAGAATTACTATGGAAAAGTAGCTTACTGAACTAGGCCAGGACCAGCTGCTAAATTTTAATCTCCTTGTGAGTCTGCAGTCACAATTAGCTATTGCAATAGTGATTCTAAAACACCTTAAGAATTTTCACATACGCTCTTACTTAATGCATACAACAACTTTTATTTAAGCTAAAGACACCAAAACAGATACCTGTGCCTGCAGGTTGGGTTCAAGACGCAGCAAGCATCCAATCTGAGTAGTTTTTGTATGTATGATACCAGCACCAACAAAGTTAGCAGGATTGGGATCTACCTCTTCAAGCAGAGCAGATCCAAAGCCAATTATCTGTCAAGGAAACCCAGAAGATTTTTGTAAGTAGAGAGGACAGAAGGACAGCAGCAGTGCCAAGTAACCTTGATCACTAATGGAACTGACAGTCTATCCCAGTACAGCCACAAACAAGTAAGTAGAAGATTCCTTAATTTTCATTTGAAGTGTTCAAGAAATTAAAGAACTTTATCAACTACTCGATACGAATTCTATTACAAGGGTAACCTTTATGAGGATGCCTGATTTTGAGCTTTTCCTGAAATAAGAGACTCCTTTGGAAAATAACTGAGAAATAATTTTCAAGAGACTCAAATTCTCCCTTGCTTAATTACAAGGGACTTCCCTGCCTTACCCTCATTGTATCTGTTCTGCTGAAGGCAGACAGATTTATGAGATCACAATATTATCTTGTTTGCTTTCGAAATTAGCACAAAACTAGTACAAACGAAAGCAGAAGATACTTCAAACTTCAAGCACAGAATTCACATTTTCATGTATTGCCTCAAGTTTCCAGCTGCTGTCAAAGCTCAAGCCATACTGAGAAACAGCCCAACAAACCCCGTCTGCCAAAGGCTGGTTATACCGCAGACTCATTGTTTAACAGCATGAGCCAAGTGCCACATAAAATAAGACAGGTCAATGGCTGCTTATGCCACTACCTTTATACTACCATTTAGAAATGCCATGTTACTACCCACCTTTGCTTTTGTGATCTCTGCGTCCATCGGGTGTTTCGCTTTAAAGATATTCTGTACTTCTTGTTTAGGACTGCAAGGCAAGGCACAAGTGAATGTTTTGGATTACTATGCAACCCACAGCACTGATGAACAGCTATCATTACTACTTGCACTGTGGAGGCTCTAACCTGCAGGCATTATGGATAGAATGGGACGCTGCACTAGTTGTGTTCACAGTAAATATCTTCTCTTTGACCCACACCCTAGAAACCCCAAGCCCAAGCATAAACAGGGTCTTACTTGCTCAGCTGTTTCCAACGCTGGAAGAAGTCTTGAGAAGACATCTCTGTAGGCTGAAAAAACTTATTCAGTGTGATGGGTAGCTTTACTGAAAGATTTTGAAATGTCCCACCATACCTGTATGCAGAAGAGACACAAAATGGGGCAGGCAGGACAAACCGTTAGCAGTCTCAGGGCATATCAACCAGGAAAAGAAGGGCAAATACTAAGGTAGAGTTGCTTGATAATTTAAAAAGAGCTATCAGCTGTCTTAATTGAGAAACTGCATATCATGCAATTTCTAAGCTGCAAATTTTAAGCCACCATTACATGATTTTAACTGCTCTACCTAGACATGAAAGTCAACTGGTACAGCTTCTTATAAGGACATTGCTCCATTTCAACACAGGTACTTAACCCTTTAGATAGCACCTTGCAAGGTAGCAAAGAGATATTCTTGTGAAAATGCACCAAGTAAAAAACCTTCAGCTCAGGCTACAGCAACCGAACATCCCTTTCTCCCTCTTTAGTTAAAGTTTTGTTAGATCAAGTTCCCAGGAAAGTTACCTGCCCAAGATTAAGGCTTTTAATTTTGCGGTCCTAGTCCATGTTTCAGTCAAGAGGCCCAGGCCAACTTCAACATCTAAATAATTAATTCAGCAACTTTAAAATACTGTGTTTTACCTGAACTGAATGTTCAGGATTGGCGCTTCCATAAAGTCTGACACACACTCAATGTTCACAACCTGCTGCACCTGCGCACCTCCGTCCACTGTGGGGTCAACAGGTTTTGTCTGGAGATTCAGGCATGAGGCGTAGTTAAGGAAAGCAATCACTAAGCGTATAGTTAACAAACAGTAGTTTCTACTGGCAAAATATTTAAAGGAATAAATATTGTGTCTGCTGGTTCTCCACTCATGAAAATCTGAAGCTCAATTTTTATACAATATTTTCTTTTCCTGTTGACACATCAAGAAGCAATAGGTTGTCAACATTTCTCATTATAGGAATATCCTTAAAAAAGGATTCCATCAAAAAAAGCATGCAGGCCACAACTGTAAAATAAAAACCCCAGTACTATCTCATTTTGATCCAAATGTTACAGTGAGGTTTTGAGTGAAACAAGCTAGATCACATGCTCTCCCAGAAATCCCAAACTGTCAATAGCAAGTGTTAAGTGCAAAAACACACCCACAAGAACTTATTTTAAGGTAGTGGTATACTTGTGCACACACATTCCTCTATCTCCCTTTCAAAGTCATGTGCTGATGCAGGCCTGGAAGGACATCAGACCTATGTCTCTGCTACTTTATCTCAATGGATAAAGCTACATAATTTTGCTACATATTTATTCATAATAATACATCCTAGACTCAGCAGTTAAAGCTGTCCCTCTAACCACAGCTCTAAAGAGAAAGGTCTTTTATTTCTGCTAAAAACTGTCTTTTTCTACAAAAAAAAGAAGAAAAAAGGGACGCTATTCATCAAATTGCTCATTTCTTCATGTTTGAGGACATCAAACCTTGATCTAGCAGCTTTAATGAACTTTTTTCCTGCTCTGCTTAAAGGTGTAAAAAGAACAGAAAGACGCTATTGTATTTAAGGATATTTGACTGAAGGTCATCCGAGCAGATTACTGTTGGAGTAAAATTCAGGAACTGAGTTGATGTCTTATTGCCATAGAATATGAACATACGTCCTAAAAAAAAAAAATTATATATATATATGTATATAAAAATAAAAGAGAAAGCAAGCAAGAAAGAAGTCATCAGAAGTTTCTTAGGTTTCAAAGTAATTTCTTGGAAATAACTTAGAAAGACAATATAATTTATTCATCCAATAACAGGCATGGCATATATATCTCATATACAGACACAGTATATCAGACAATATATACTTATATATTTATATATCCACACATACGCCAGAATATGTTCTAATATATCAACCTAAAGGAGCCTTCTTCACTGTGAGGCCTCTTCAACATGTACTTCAAGTCTTAACCTACTTCCATTTAAAATGCTAGAGAGCAGAAGATAAATATAGTGCTCATCTTGCTGAGATAGTCACAGCTCAAGATGAAGTAGTATGGAAATAAACCATTAGACTGTTTCCACTGTAGCTGTTACACAGGCACTAAAATAATCCATGGAAGTCTTTAAATCACTATGACTTTTTTTTTTTTTTTTTTAAATATATTAGTGTTATTGTGGTATCAAAAGCCATGCAAAAGAGAAGCAAGAGCTCCTTGTTCTGGAGCATTTTCAACCTCCAGCTCTTTACCAGACACTTTAACTACCCTGTACATTGATATTCTGTACCATATGGTTAGGAAAAGCTCTACTGTAAAATAGACAGACTCAAGATAAAGGTCACTTATAACCCAAGCAGTGTAAGCCCTACAATGAGGCCGAGGCAACTAGAACTCACAGTACCACCTACACTCTCATTTCAGCTGCCAAAAGCAGCTGATAAGTTAAAGAAAACAAGATCCCACACAGAAGCCACAAACAGAAGCTCTCAAGACAGTTGGGCCTGAAATCAGACTCCTCTTTTAAAGCAGCTGAAAAGTCAGCCTTATGCTCAGTATCATGTTGCCAATGAAGTTGATGCATAAATAAGCTAACAACTCTGCCTGAAAGTTCTTACCCAGGTTCTGCCGAAATTCAGACTTCAGTCCAATTTGTAGCAACTGATTTTCAAATAAGACTCCATTATTTTTACACACAAACCTAGAGGAAAAAAAGCAAGGTACATTTTAATTGAGACAGATTAAAAATGTTCAAAACCACAAAATTCAGGGTTTACACAGAAGATGAAGACTGGTTAACCTAAAGCGCATCAGTCTGCGAGAAAGGCCCTTGCAGAAAATTGCAGAGTTAAAAGATGAATGCATTTTAGAATTGAAACCACCTATTGTAGAACACTAAAATAACTGAGTTTCTATCCAACAGGATACCTGAGAAACTATGGAGGAAGCCACAATATGCTATAGACACACACTAAGAAAGATTAGGCAACAGACTATTTGCTTATTTTTGGCAACTTCTGGAACTCACTAAGAGAGTAAGAGAAGTTGTTTCATCAACTCTCTATCATGTATGTTGACTTGGCAGTTGTGGGTTTTTTTTTTTTTCATTTTGAAGGAGCAAGCCCATTTTACATGTATTTTAGTCCTCCTACCCTTCACTTAAAAGCAGAAGAGGTCGTCAACGAATATTAGCCTGTTTCATACACAGCACTACACAAAAACATGCTTGCAAATATCAGTAATTTTGGTAAATTCTTACCCCTTTTAAAACAGTCGTCTGTATTTGCAAGAGTTGCAAATATACAGCTAGAGTTGCCAAAAATGTCTCATTTTAGAGTAGTGTGTGATAGCAGTGACTCTTAACAGGCAACTCTAAGCTGTGGATTCATGAGCGTGTCATACAACGCACAGCATTTACAGAAATGTTCTGCTCACAGGAAGTCTGACAATATATGTACATACATATGTTTCTGCCCAATTCTGCTAGCACTACGTCAATGCACACTATCCTTTTATCTTTTCTCTCCTGTAACTATATTCTGGAATTTGCCCAGCCTTGCAAGGTTTTAGTGTTGCTTACTTGTGAAAAAGCTCATCAGCATCATGCACAGTATCAGCTGGTTCCTCAGAAACTACCTCAGATGAAGCCAGGTCAGGGCTAGTTCAGGCAGCACAAAGGAAGAAAGGTGGTAGCGACAGAGATAGCAGGAGTTAGTAAAGACAGCTTAGTGCTTAGTTATTTCCTTTACCTCCTTCCTCAAAAAATTGCACTTGTGAGAATTTAATGCATGAGAAGTTTATTAGCTGCCCTAGTTGATTAAACCTGGAAAGATTTTAGGCATTAAGTGATTATTTTCTTCCCCCACCCCCACTCCATGACTATTAGGAACCAGGAATTCCTCCTGAAGACAGGAGATGCTGAAGACATTCAGCAGCTTAAGTCTGTACCTCTTAAACAATCAAATCCTTTTAGGCATTTAATTATTTGTGACAGTTTTTAAACTTCAAAACCATAAGTGGAGGTGTATATTAACCACTTCAAACCTGCATTTTGAAACAGACCTCATCTACATTAATGGAATTTCTCATGACGACTGCACAGTCTGTTCTTAAAAAGAAACCCCAAAAATATTTAAAGCGTAGGCAACAGTACATGGGCACATGGTGTATGACTAAGCCAAGTAACAGATTAGAAGCAAAAGTGACAACAGCACTAGAAAAGCAGCAGGAAACTATAGAAGGCAACTTGGCAGTAGTGCTGAAGGAGTGTTTCATCTTGTACAGACAGACCATAGTTGGACAATGCTAGACTTTCCTCTGCAGCAGGAGGAAACCCAAGTAACTTTCTTATGAAAATGTTAGTCTTTTAAAAAAAAAAAAAAATATCAAAGTTTTTAAAAAGCTCTAACAAGTTTGTACAGCTTCTTAAAATTTTGGTACTGTGTAGCATGATAAAACAACACTTACTGCTTTTCAAGAGAAAAGTAGGATCGAGTTTTAATCACTGCAAACCTGCAACAGTGCCTGGCCTTGTATAAAATTGATGAAAGGCAACGGAGCCCAGGCAGATTAGTTCTACTAGCTACACCTCTTATATTAAGATACCCAGCAAGTGCATCATCACATCATGATGTGATATCCTTGATAATACTAATATTACGCTCTTTGGCCAATAGGAAGAAAAATTTTGAAAGATGTCATTGTCATTTAATTCTGTTTACTTCCAAAATTTTAGCCAAGTGACATTTGAGCATAGCTACCAGCCGTCTCATATTAAAAGGACTAATAACACACTATGCCTGATACTACAGCTGGCAATGCAAACAGGAAGATAATTTTAATCAAATCTCCCTCTCCCTCCCCCAGAAAAAGAAAACCATTTTTTCTTTTCTTTTCAGACTGTCTGTCAGACAGTAGCAGAGCAATTAAAGTACTTCTTGAAACTGGGGCACAATATCTAAATATTTAGCTAGGAACAACCTAGCCCACTAATCCGCTGCAAGTTTGCTGTAAGTGAGGAAATGCAAGAATGCTTTATGGAAACAAGAAACAATGTACAACAACAATGTATTCATGTAGGGCCAGACAGCCCCAAAGTTTACCATGTATTGCTGAGATGCACGAGCAGCTTGCTTTAGCAAGCAAAACCAGCAGGAAAACTAGGCAAGACTGCACGGTTAAAATATCCTCGACTGACTATTACAGACTCAGTTTCACACGACCAAAAGTTTAAATAAAGACAACATATACAGCATAAAGAGATCAAGAACAGCACTTCTGCCGCACAACTACCACCCAGGAATGCATTCATGTAGCTGGAAGAAAACTGAAAGTTATTAATTCAATGTATTCTCTTCTCTAACCCCAATTTAGCAGGAAATACTTCCCCAAAGACCTTACAGAGTGTCTCATTCTCAATTACCTCGCAAAGTTGTCATCAGAACCAGGAGCAAGAGGTGCAACTGCAGAAGCTGAATCTGAAAATACATCCACAAGCAGGCTACCGCTAGAAGCAGGTGGTGGAGCTGAGTTGCTAAGAGGGGCTGCACCCAGACCCAGTAGATCCGCAGATGGAGAAGGAGTAGACTAGGGAAGACAAGACACTTCAGAATTAAACAAGACTACGACAGAGCTGTCTATTGCTGGGTAACCTAAGTTGTAGCAATGTTCTTTCATGCCCCATCAAGGCTGGGTAGACAAGGGAAAACTTCATAAATGCAGTTACTACTTGGTGTTTCAATGTAAGTTCCTTCCCCCTCCCTTTTGAATTATGACCACCTAGAAGTTAAATAAAAACAAGACTTGCAAAAAGCAGAGCTTGTACTTAATTTAAGACTACAAGCGGTAAAGGTAGAGGTGAGACCTTTAAGAATATTTTTCCCAAGCGGAGCAAATCAAGAGACCATCAGAGGCCTCACGTGTGCACTCCTGAGCCACATACAAGAAAAAAGCACAGACTGGTAGTAGCCAAAGTGTTTATGCATTATATTTTAATTCTACAATAATCAAGATAATATCTTGTAAGATAAAAGAATGAAATCTTTGACTTGCAACAAACAGTTAAGTAGCTCATCCAAATGCAAGTCACTTCAAGGTTATCACATGCAGGAACTCCTAGACACTGCATTGACAAGATTAAAGGAAGAAGTTAAAAAAGTAGGGAATGTGTCAAGGCACTTCTTCCTCTTAAGTAATCCACTACTATATCTCAACTGCAATAAGTTATCCTTGTTACTAAAATCGAAAACTTAAGAACTTTGTTAGGGGAGCGTTCATCCTTCTAGCCTTAGTTGACAAAGTGATAAGTTGCAGTTAAACAAATGAGATGGCTGCACTGCCTGCCATAATGGAACTCAAACTATTGTGTTAAGTAAGCTTATATAATCTCATCAGTATATTTCACGGGCACCCGCATTAAGTGCTGTTCACTTCTAGTGAAAATAAAAATAACCTGAAACAAAATGAAAAAATACTTATCATACTAGAAGAGATGTAAGAACAGCTGATGCACAGAAATTCAAAATGCTCCTTTTAAATATGCTCATTTTAGCACCTCACCTTCACTGCAAATTAGTCAGAGGAAAGATATCCCCATTTCTAAGACTGCAGCAACATCTCTCAGCATAACAATATAAAAAGGGATATATATTTTTTTTTAGACTGCAGACAATTCTTCCCCATTTATACCATGGGTAAGATTTCCCAAGCAGAGTTGAATATAGTGTGCAGGGAAAGCTGATACAGGTTCCCCTTTTTAGCAAGGGCCCATAGTCTAATATTTAAGACCAGCGCAATTCCTTCTACCAATGCAATTCCCTCTTTGCTTCCACACCTTGTGAACTTCTGAAATAAGAACAGTTTTTAAACTCACAACAGCGCTAGCATTGACAGAGGCAGGTTCAGCACTTCCATTCATATCAGAACTCCTCTCCTTTTTGATCTCTTCCAGGTCAGTAACTGTGCCAGGCCCCTTCTTCTTCTTCAGCTTAGCCAAAATGGAAGACTCCCGCTCCGGAAAGGGAGGCATTTCTTCTAGCACTGTAGCCTTATCACAGAAGTAGTATATTAGTTATATTGGAAAAGAAGACCAAATCAACTTTCTAGTCTTTGAAGAGAAACACCATTATACATTGCATGATGTTCAGGCAAGACATGTACAAAAAAAATCCACCATACAGTCTGTTGTACAGCAGTAGATAAAAAAAAAAAAAGTAAAATATCTATCTTATGAGGAAAGACTAAGCAAGCTGGCCCTGTTTAGCTTGGAGAAAAGAAGATTGAGAGAGGATCTGATCAATATGCATAATACCCGAGGGGAGAATATAAAGAAGATGGGGTCCAACTCTTCTCGGTGGTGGCCAGTGACAAGACAAGGGGTAATGGGTACAAACTGAAACACAGGAAGCTGCATCTCCATGTGAGGAAGAACTTTACTGGGAGGGTGACAGAGCCCTGCAACAGGCTGCCCAGAGAGGTTGTGGAGTCGCCTTCTTCGGAGATCTTCAAAACCCACCCAAATGTGACCCAGTGCCACGTGCTCTAGGTGACCCTGCTTGAGCGGGAGGGTTGGACTAGATGATCTCTAGAGGTCCCTTCTAACCTCAACCATTCTGCGATTTTGTGAAAACAAAATATTCAAAGGTTTCTGAAGTCTGCTTCTGACTGATGACCTGGGAACTTTTGCTGATATGCCCTTCCTCCTCTTTCTCCTTCTTCATGATACCTTCCACAGACAACAGACCTAACTTTGATGATATGCAGAGCATAATCTTGAAAATAATCTTCCCAAAGGAGATGCTTAAAAAAAAGAAAAGGGTGCAGATTACCACTCTAATAAAGTACTACTAAAAAGAAACCCAAATATACTAACACCAAGCTTGGGTCATAATGGACATGAAGGTTGAATCAAGCAGACCTAGACCAGAGGCACTAAGTACTACCCTGGTTAGGACCCTCTTCAGACCTAAACATTGTTACCAGACACAAGACTGAAGGTGACATGCTCTGGCCCGAGGACACCAGGTTAAAACAGTCTGGGAACTTCTGGGGAGAAAAAAGTTCTGTGCAGGTAACTGCAAGTTTCCTGCCCACCAACCTACAAGCTGATTTTCAGGAACAGTCTACATGAGTTTTGACTAATTGTTAAAGAAAACCCAAGCATTAAGTGGCAGACATTTAGTTCTGAGTCATGTATTCACTTTAACACAGCATAAAGAACCCTTTAACATCTTCCTTTTTGCAGACCTCAAGAAGCTGCCATTAACTCTTCAATTATAGCAGAGCAAAATGATATGAAATAAGTAGTGACTCAATGAAGAGGAGAGATTTTAGACTTTAAAGGCTTGACTCAATAATGACATCTTTGAAACACTAGTCAAATTTCTGGAGGAAAAAGAAAGTTACTAATACACAATAATATACACCACACACAGCACCACACAGCTCTCACTATTCTCATCATGTAATACTGAAGTGTTGACATCTTACAGGTTCTACCTGTACATGGCTCTAGCATACACGTGCTTTTAAAGTTATTATATTTAATTATCTGCTTCCAGACTTCAACATCTCACTTCACTGAGGCAAGAACTCCAGCTTCATATGCTTCACTAAAAGCCATGCATACTTGCATGCTGATCTGCTTCTTACAAATTTACCCAATGAGGTATTCCCAACCTTCCTCTAAAAGATCACGAACTAGTCCAGTTAAAGACAGTATGCATGTCATATGAACACTGCAATGTCTACGTCAAGACTCTCCATAAGCACATAGGCATCCCTCAAGCCAGAGCTCAGCACTTCAGGAACCTGAACTGTCCATCCAGTGATAGCTCTGCAACTATCACAGCTAACAGCTCCAATTTCAAAGTTACAGCTACCTAGTGAACTTGTTACAGAGAAACATCTAAATATTGAAAGGTGAAAGTCCTTAGAATATAAGGCAGCAGACTTTCATGGACCAGTACTACAGAGCTTCATACTATTCCAGCTTTTATCGGGTCCGCGTTAACATGAATTAACTTACTTTGCCACCAGAACAACAGCTTTGATTCTTGGCTCTAAGTAAAAGATGGCTGCAGCTAAATTCAGTCACAGATAGGAAAAGAAAAAAAAAGGAGAAAAAAAAAGGGCAAAACTAGCCATTTTGTGATTCCTAAATTTAAACAAAGATTTTAAGCAATCAGCTAAGGTTTATTGAAATTTTATTCATTGACAGATTGAAGATCCATTATTGGTTTTGATACACACATAGCTAAAGATTTCTCCATAATAAAAAACCAAACTACTAAAAACAAAATACTACACTTACCAATATATCAGTACTGGCAATGGTACTGAGCCTCAGATATTCAACAGCTCTCTGCTGCAGCTCAACATCGGCATTCTTAAGCTGACTGTCACTGCGCAATACATCCTGAATTGTTGTTTTGATTTCTGGAAACAGGTTCACGAACTTGATGTAGGTAGACAGAAGCAGAGCTCGGGTAGGAACACTACACAGATGAAACTTGGAGTGCAGCAAGTTGAACTGGATGAGGGGACTTTAAAGATAAGAGGGAGGGAGGGAAAACAATCTGTTCAATTTTCACAGTAATGATAATTCTTAATGTAAGTGCCAAAACATCTTAGGAGCTCTTAAGAAGATTAAACAGACAGTAATTCTTTACAAAAGAACTATTACTATTCCAAATGCATAATTAGAGATCTTCTTTAAAAGACATTTTACCTTGACCTTGGATCACCTGCTATCAGATTTCCAAATTCTCCCAAGATATAGCCACCTACTTTTACAAGATTCTCATGGCATGCTGGAGCTTGAAGGGCCTGTAAAATATAGTAATAGGTGGTCACTAACCTGTAATATGTCAAAAAGATTCATCTCACCTGTCAGTTCCATACCTAGTTTCCTGGTCTACTTTCCTATAAGAGCAGATGATACGTCTAAAAGGTAGAGAACCAACTATGAAAAAATACAGTGGAAAGTTTTCTATAACATATAGAAAGATTAATCAAGCCAAGTCATACCTAATGTAAGTGTTATTAACCCAAGAGCATTCTTAAAGCTCACTTAGCAGTACTGTGAACTTCTGAGGATTCCTAAAGTAGTTCCTAACTTCCTAACATCCTTAGGAGAGTCAAAAGTACGCCAGTATTTTAACTTGATTATTGCAGGAATGGGCTAAAATTGTCAAAGATGTAAATACTGTCTTTTTAAGTACGAAGGCAACAGAGATAAGTTCCAAATGTCTCTTTAAGCATTCAGAAAAGATGACCAAGTTGAAAGCCCATCTGAAGAATCCAAACAAAGTCAGAGCAATAAGGTCAGCCATTTCGAAGTTTCCCCTAACAGTTAAAATTCCACTTGTATGAGATCCTAAACAGCTGGAATGGACACATATTCTAGAAGGATCCCCAAGTTATCTTGAGTGCTTGGATTCCTACAGTCCATAAAACTGAAAGTATTTGCAAAGCCTCCTGTTTTTAATTTGCGTTTCAGTAATTTTCCCAATAATGCTATTTCCTTACCAAGCTATTCACTCAGAAAACAACAACAACAACAACAACAACAAACTCCCCCCACCTTGTGGCAGTTTAAAAAGCACAAACCACTCTCCCTCCCCAATACCTTAGAAAACAAACAGGTGATTTTACATTATTTACTTAAGCCAGAGCAACTTTTCATCAGAGAGTAACCTGTCTCTGGCTCAGAAAGTCTTAGATGCTAGACTTAAAGCTCTAACAGTATTTTTCTCAAAATAATTCAAGAGCAATTTTTTTATTCTTCCCTAACAGAAGGAATATGCACAGCTGCTAGATTACACATTTGCTTAATTTCCAAACCATTTTGAAACCCAACACAGAAGAATTATTCTTACCTCAAAAACAGTCTTTGCTGCATACCCTTGAACATCATCCCTGTTAATGACAATCTGAATAACACGGTACCATACTTCTTCACTGACATAGTCACCAGCAATGCGGATCAGATTCAAGATTGTATCCACATACCAGGTATAATCCACTGCATACTTCTCAGCTAGAATTGCAACTTTTAGCACCTGAACAAACACAGAGGACAAGACAGCAGAAGCTAGTCAGTGTTCTGGATTCTATATGCTGTGATTCTGTAAGATGTGAATCAAGATGAACTTTTAAATATGCTGTGAACCCTCAGGGAAATCCAGAAACATCCGTTTCAGCTGTCTAGCTCACTTGCTCTCAAAGCTGAGGTAGAAGATGAATATTGATGCTGTGTGCCAGAAATCACCTGCTACCATCACATAACATTGTGCATTAGAGCAGGCTGTAAGTAGTACACAGTTGAAGAGCCACAGATTAACCAAGTGATCAAGAAAAACCTATCAAAAATATTATTTCCTATAAAAGCATTTAAACCATCATTGAGATAGCACTAAGTAATTTGAAGTACTCTTAAAAAATGTGGATGTTCACACTAGCAGAGGCAGGTCAGAGCCACCAAATTTGTTGCCATTTCAGAACACTTAGAAATCTGAAGCAAAGTGTCAGCAACAGGAAGAGACTAAATACATCATTTGAATTTATAGGTTGCAACTGTACTAGCCAATTCCTTTAGGAGCAGTAAGTTAACAGAATGAAATTCATGTTATCTGCAAAGTCAGCATAGGTTGTCAACAGCAACAAGGCGGTATAAAAGGTATATCAAGTACCTTTTATTCTATGCTATTTTGATCAAGAACTTTTAGCAATGTAGTCTTAACTAAATAATTGCTGTAAATGCAGACTATTGCCACACTTCTGTGAATGTCACTCACTGGGTATTTTATCTTTTGCATTTTTTCTGCTGGGAGAAAGACAGCAGACAACACTCGTCCCCTTGAACTCATCATCTAAGTCAGAGCTCCTGGGAATCCTTAGAACAGGGGAAAGTTCTCACAGCACACGGCTTAAAATTCTACATACAAAAATAAGTATTTATCATTCTAAGCTTTGAAACAAAAGCAGTTGTCTAGAGATAAGACATAGCTCAGTAGAACTAGAGATTTTTCTTCCAGGAGCACTAAAAATTCACTTCACTGTAAGCAAAAAAAACCACTAAAGCTACTTTTTAAGTTTCCTGATCTGAGCATTTTTTTATATTATTATTTTAACCTAAACAAAGACATCATTATTAGATACAGCCTTTATGGGTTTTTTTTTCCCCCACCTTCAAAGAATTTCTATCACAGACCATCTCACATGGTGCCAAAGCCAGTTACACACACACACACACACAAAAAGGAAATACAAATATCTCACAATTTCTTCTCTAATGGAATAATCAGCAGTCTCCAAATAATTCAGCATTTCAGCCACAATCTGTTGAGCATTGCTTCGGTCACACATTGCATACAGGAGATCTACAGCTCTCTGACGCACACTCACATCTCTCTCAGTCTGCAAAAGGACACAAGAGCAGAAGGTCAAGATGATTTCACATTTGGAAAGAATGTGCAATTCACCAAAAAAGATTAAACTTCCACATTTTATTTTTCATAGTCAAATTCAAGACAAATGCTTTGTAATAAGCTTTCAGAGACAGAATGAAGTTCTTCAAAATGCTAACATTCCCTTGATATGAGCTACAAGTTTCTCAAGTTATTTCCACTTTCCCTGGAGACTGAGAGGGCTTATTGATTTTATAGAACATTTAGTCTTTAAAAATATATTAAATATTTTTTTAAATGAAAACATGAGGTATTGCTTATGTACTACACACATTAGAACGCAGACAAATGCTGAGAGCATGGAAGAGTTTGAACTCTACTACTGCCCTGCAAGCATTGACAAGCTTGTGGCATACTCTAAATAGGGTAACCTGCACCACTTTCCAGAGACACATTAAGAACCAGTTAAGACGACCATAATGATCAGGGTGATAGACAACTAACTACCTGGAGCTTCAGCATGGAGCTTGCCTTAAATAACAGAAGCTCAGCTAAAACGCAACGGAGGTGCATGCTTTAAGGTTAGACAAATGCATTAATATGCTACAGTATGAGCTCGGAAGGAAATATTACACATAAACACTGAAGCGTTTTGCATTGCCAAGCAAAAATAGGTTAAAAAAAAAAAAAGTCTTCTTGTTTCAATTTCTGCTAGAGATACAGCTTTAAGGTTTCTTGACTTTGGAAAAAAAAATATACATATATATATATACACATATGGTTACACAGAGAAAGCTGATCACCTACTCTACTGCTCCCCACAAGTTGTTGCAGCAAAAGTAATGTCTGTTTTTTCAGTAAAGATAGCAACAGAACAAAGTCTTTCTGAGCACTCTTTGTTTTGAATTTTGACTCTTGAGAGACTCATGTGCCTTCAGTCTCCAGCTTCTGACCCTTATAACATTCTGGAGCCTCAGCTACAAGCATCAGATCCACCAGCAAAACTGTAAAGGTAAAGTTAAATGTAAAGTAAGAAGTTAACTTTTATGGCTATAGGCACACAATAATTTTGCGGAAGTAGAAAAAGAATTACAGCAAGTTTCTAGAAATAACTCATTTAATCCCCAAGTATTATTAGCCTTATGGGAGAAGGAGAAGGAGGAGAATACAAGGATTATAGTTAAAAATAGACTGTACATTTAATATTTACCTTCAATGCATTGATAACTGTTTCTATGTGTGTTTTCACAGCCTCATGTGAGAATTCAGAGCTGGCAAGCGTGCACATGCTTTCCAGTGCTAGGTAACGCAAATTAGTTTCTCGGTGCTGCAAGAACTGACCTAGCTGGTTACAGGCACGGACTAGTAGATTTGGCTCACTGCACAGAACAGGAGAGAAAGTGAAAGGGTTAAAAGCAACAGATACAAGAACACTGGATAAAGAACCCTGTTTCTGCAGTGCAAGTTTCTTAAAGTGCTTTAAAAAGTGTCTGCTGTTGAAATTAAAATTCAGATATTGTGAGATCATCTCTCTTAGATTAGAATTGTGGGTCACAACACAAAACTAAATACTAGAAAGAGCAAGAAACAGAAATAAACAAAATGCTAGCAGTGACACAGTTTATTAATACTTTTCAAATCAAGTGCTACAGGTGATGTTGCAACCTGGCTAGCAATTTCATACTATGATTTTTCCTTTAAGTAAAATTCTATTTAACATTCAACGTGAAGTCATTTTCCACTTTTCCATTAAAACAAACAAAAGAAAACACTGTTTTAATAAAAATATTCTCACTGCTCACCTGTCATGATGTATTATTAAGCTTATTGCCTCAAACAGCACAGCATTCTTGGCATTCGAGTGCTGCACTTTCTTAGATTTTGGTGGCTCCTGGGCTTTGTTAAGAATAGTTTCCAGGCATTCTGTGAGACGACCACGTACCGCAGGGTCTTCTGGAGAAGAACAAGCTGTTGGACAACTTCATTTCACTCGACACCCCAGCCCTTACTTTAGGCCTTCCACCCGCTAAACTTTCAGAAGAAGCTGAGGCAATATTTATGTGTTAAATAGCTCATCCTTCCCTAATGTACCTTTAACAGAGAAGTCTAAGCCACATTTCTACTTGGGCAAGAACAAAAGCCAAACCCTATCTGCGCTGTAATATACTTCAAGACTTTAATATCATCGATAACACTAAGCAATATTAAATACTTGCAACATAGACCTAGGTGTCTTAGAGCAGACTGTTAAATCAAAATGCTTCTTGCAGCCCAGTTGCAATAGTCATTTGAACAATCTGAAACACCTGAACAGCACAAGTTTTGATATCCACACCCTAAGACACTGTGATTACACTCCAAGTTGTATTGACACGCTACCAAAGTGGCTCTCTGGATATGATGCCCTGTGAGAGAGGTAACCACTGTTACAATTTGTGCATTACCTGGAGGTGGATAGCACTGTAACAGCCTCAGAAGTTTCACAGATAACCAAGGAGCAGGAACAAAGTAGTAAGTATAATCTTGAAGATCTGTTGATGCAGAGGTTACAATCTGTAAAATAAGCAGATAACACAGATGAAACTGCAGTAGCTGTTGAAGTGATTTGCAATTAATAGAGCACCCAGTCAAAGGAAGAGCACTGTAGATCATCTTTGACAGTGGCTTAGTTAAACATTACCAGTGGCATAGTTCTATAAGTAGGTTGGGTTCAAGTTTTCATACTGTCAGTACTCTGTCAAGTTCTCTGATCATATGAATTCAGTTCTACAGATATAGTAGTCTATTGAGTTTTCCCTATCCTCTCTCCTCTAATCATTCTGTGCTTTCACTAAAAATGAATATTATTTTAGAGTATTGTCATACCTTACTGACCACTGACAGATGATTACTGAATCCCTAAATATGAGAATTATTGATAGATTTAAGGTAGAGGGTTCAAATACCTCTCACTAACATTCACCAGTGATAAACAGTTTGCTTTTACAGGAAAGGTTTTTATACTTAGTGAAATGTGACAAGGATTACATTAGCAGAGAAACTACTTCATGCTCCCCTCCCCCAACACACATCTTTGACTACAGAGTAAGCACAAGTCTGGCATTAGCTTTGTTCAAAGACACTTCACCCAGTAGTTGCTGCTGCATTTGAAACAGTTATTCATTTCCCCTAGAATTATCTTACTTCTAAGAAATAATTTAAAAAGTCTTCCTATCCAAGATGAAATTAAACTTCTCCAAAATATGTTTAATTTTGGATCTTAAAATGCATAAATTGAAGCTTAAAATTCATCTGTTAATTAATATCTTAAAAGGGTGGGTTTTCCCCCCCAGGTTTAACCATCTTCAAAAGATGACAAAAGCAAAAAAATAACACAAATTTTCCATCACAAACATGCTAACATGAGGGACTGGAGGGAGAAAATTCAATTTCTCACATGTAAAAAAAGTCTCATTGTTCCCTCCCTCAGCTGAACCTCATACATCCATTTACAGAATATTAAATTCTTGTAACTATTAATTTAGTAGCATCACAGGAATGAATAGGAAGACTGATTTTCTTTTATGTAATTTATATTAAACTAATTAAAAACTAAACTAAATTAAAAGCATTAAAAGTGTTTTGGGGGGCTCCAGAATTAATGTTTGATCCAGTTACTCTTCAGTGTTACAGTAAGAAAACAAGGACAAAAGTCTCAGTTGCACTGTGGAGGTTCTTGCAGCAGTGACAGTGCCAGGAGCAGGTAAGACTCTGCTCAACTACAGACTTTTGGTGTAATCCTTATCTTCACTACATACCAAAAGTTTGTGCAAGCTAATATGCTTTTCCATCACTGTAAGCCACAAATACTAAAATGGGCTACCTGAACTAGCTGTGTGTGTGTGTGTGTGTATATATATACACGTATATATCCATACCACACACACACACACACACACACACACACAAAAAAGAGGAAGAGAAATTGAATGACACTCCTTTTTAACAGAGGGCTAATCTGACCTCGAAAACTTAGTAAATAATCAACAGTAAACTACAGTGACCTAGACAGCTGGGTAAGTTAAACAATGAAGTATTATCAGGGTTAACATTAGACTTACTCTGCTTAATCTTGACACTGCCAAAGAGACTGAAGTTTTGAACTCTTCTGGGTTCTTCTGTGCCAAAGTAGTAATCAGACTTGTAGCTGCAGTAACCACACCCTGGAAAGAAGAACAAAGCCTATAGTTCAGTTTTGAAACAGCTTAAGATGGTCCTAATTAAAACCATCTTTCACTTGAAGTATTTCTAATATAGGAAAAAATAAATAAACAAACAAACACACAGCAGATCATCCAGGAAAGAATTCTGACAAATGGAGAGACAGAGAGATCTGTAAAATATATTTTATAAAATAAAATTACTATTTTTTAAATTTTACATATATGCTCACAATGTTTCATTTACTATTGCATATTTTATATATTTCACATTTGATATCACTACAGACTAGAGTACTCCCATTACTGTTTTGCAAGTCTAAATGTCTTTATATTTGTAAAGTAACTGGGGGATGGGGAAAAATAGGTTTTCTTATTAAGAACAACAGCCACTGGGTTTTTTTGAATGAACAGGATCAGAATCAGAATGACTGCTTGAAGACTGTATGACCATGAAGTCCAAGCACCGACAAAGCAGGCTTTGTATTTTCAATATAGCTCTAATCTTCAGAGGAGCCTGAAAATAGCTAACATTATACCTACACATATGATTTATGATCACAAGGCACAAGAATAATTTATTTAGAGCCAAAGCAAAGAAATAAAAGCTTATACATACTATCCCTATATTGACAAGTCTAATATAACAAGGCTCTATCAGAAAAAACACATGCTAATTATGATAAGGACAACCTTCTTGCATCTCTAACCCCAATCTTGAAGAAAAAAGCCACCCACTAACTTACTTAAAAGATTCAAAAAATAATAAATTCATAATGCCTTTAACAGTTATTAAACTCTAAACAAAACAGGCACAAGAAACAGAAGTAAACTAACTTACCAAGTGCTGGTCATTGAGGAGATGTACCACCCTGGATGTCCAGTCTCCCATGGGGACAAGGTCAGGAGAAGTTCGATATAGACGCAGCAGGCATAACGCAGCACTCTGTTTCACACTATCCATAGTATCTCTGCAGCACACAATTATGTTTTCATTGGTATTAAAGCCACAGCAATACTCACAGGCCAGCCTTATGCTATACTTTTGCCCTACTGCAACATTCCCTGGTAATGGTTTAGCTTTCCAAGTACATGGAAACCAAAGCTAATTAACTAGATTCTATGTTAAGATTATTTGTTGTTCATAATTGTCAGCTAGGTTGTAAACTTGACTTGTCAAACCATTAAGTCTTGTATCCTCTGTAATGTATGTGGGAGTCTGTTCTTTACAATTGACATTTCACACCTCTTCATTAGAGCCGAAAGCTATTAGAGTCAGAAGTTCACTAGGCATCATAAACATAAGCTTCTTCTGAAGAGACTAAGGTCACACAGTTAAATTTCAATTTATGCTTGGGATCCTGGCATACAAACCTGAATCTCCAGAGTTAATCATTTCTCTAATATGCTGGACTGACTAAACAGCTTCAGGACCTTTGGCTAGCACCAAGTGGGCTAAGTATCACCTAGCACACTACCTACAGATCTTTCATTTTGCCATTCAAGCTGTTGACACTGCAATTGACGATTTTGAGAAGAGCATGCTAAAACCGTAACTCAGTAAACTCCCTTTCACAAAAAAGGGGTTTTTAAAAAAACAAAACAAAAAAAAAAAACAAACTATTCTTTCAGTTACAATAGTTAGGAAGGTACACACCCCTAGTGCTGAAAGTTTTAAGAGCCAATTTATACAATTTATGCTCAGGTCACCACCAAATTCCACATCCCCCAGAACTGACAGGGACACTGCAGGAAAGGAAAGCAATGAGCCTGACCGGGTCCCAGAACTTGTTTTCTTCAGAAAAAAACTGCCACATCTATTGAGAAAGTGCAAGTTCTGGGATGGATTCTCCACCGTTTCATCCACTAGCCCAGATAGACAGCAAGCAACAAGTGCTGGTTGCTTACTTCTCTTTCTGGCCCATACTAAGTTTCAGCACTGCAAAACACAAATAACGTTCAAACTATACTTGTTATACACAAGGAATTAACAGAGATGTGGCAGCACAGTGGTACTATGTCGGTAGTGGCAAGATTCAGGCGAAACCCTTGACAACTCCTAGATATCATAGCCTTGCCTTTGTCCCCAGCTCAAATTATGTGCACATAAAGTCAGATTAAAGCTGCATAAAAAAAAAAGTGCCTTTTCTTTTAAAAAAAGTTCTCCAAGGTTTGACATTTAGAGCGTTAATACATTTATTATGCAACATATTACTTCATAACGTTAGTATCACATAACAGCCTATTGTAAAACAAAGATCCATACACACTTAAAACTATTGTAGTATTATGTGATTTGAATTGCTTTTAAGCTTTATGGTCCAAAACAAAATAGCCCTTGAGAGCACAGGTTTCACTATGTTTATTTAACTACATTTCTAAACATTTACGAAGCCTGTTTGGAGATATTTAATAAGAACAAGAGCAAGTTAAACCACAAGTAGCCAGTCATCATCTTTATGCAGAAATTGCTACCCTTACCTAGACAATTGAACACTGCTAGCAGAAGCAGCAATAATGCTCACCACACAAAGGATATTTGCCCACTTCTAATGAATGTCATGATCATTTGAATAGCTTCATTTTATAATGAGATTTGTAGTTTAAGCCTCTATATTTAGATCCCCTAATTGCCCCTCCTTACATCAGGAGAAGAAGAAAAAAGCAGGTGTTCATTGCTACACTTTTGAATGGAGGAGTGGGCAGGGGGGAAAGACTTAACTGTTACACAGAGCTACAAAAACTTATCTGAGATATTGACATAGTATTACTTTCCATGTTTTATTTATACTCTTGTGCATTAAAACCCACTCAGGAATGTCAGAGCGTCTGCTGTTTTTTTCATTATAAGACACAGGGTTGGACACATCCAAGTGCAGATGAAGCTGCTCCTGATGAATTGAATACCTTAAAAGGTTTAACAATGTTGTATTTGAAGGAGGTATCTCATACTTACCCAGCTACAAGTATTTTTGGAATTTCTCCAGCAAATGCTTCCGCCATCTCCCGGCTACCCACGTTAGCGATACAGTGCAGAGCTAGCCCCATGAAGGTGGGGTTGCGGCTGGCCAGATCGTTCTTGATCGCGTTGTTTATTAAGCGAATCAGCTCACTGTTAGAGTTCACTAGTACAGAGATGAAAAGGTACCCCTGTGATTCAGAAAAAGGAAAGGAAAATTGATTTTAGTTCACTTAGTTTGTGTTTTCCTCTAATGCCATAAATAATTCTTCGAGCACATACAGATCTTCTGTAGTATTAGAGGGATGGGCAGAAATAGTTATACAACACAGTAAAGGCTAAAAAGAACAGAAGGAAGTGCAAGTGCATATAGTTTAGGGTTTCCCACGTTCATCACTTTTTAGTGAAAAAAGATACAAGGCCTGCAGATCACAGTCTGCTTCAGCATTTATTCAGTAATATAATTTCTCAAGAATGGGATAATCAAATGGGAAGCAAATCAAGCATTGACTTACTATTCAGAAATCATTGGACCACATCTGTCTGATAAAGATAACTTCTCTGGGAAGATTTAAGGGGATATTTAACAGCTACTTGCCTTATTCTGGTTCAATTCATAGCTAGCCACTATACAAAAAACTCGCGCTGGAACTCATACTTGCACTACAGTTTGTTAGCAGGAGCTAGCATATTTCCTTAAATGGCTTCCTATGAAGCCTGAAGTTCTACCTGAACACTGCAGTCAGGGCAAGTTCCTAATAAGTAATTTTTAGGCAGAATATATGTTTTAGCTATTACAATAATTCACTTGGGCAGTGCAGGAACACGGCCTCTCGAGTCATTTAGTAGAACAAGAATCCCTCTGTACAAACAGGTGCTGTTGTTGAGCCCAAGCTAAGATCCAAAACAAACTTGTTGCAAGGAAAATTTGAGGGTGGAGTTAAATACAGACTATACAGCTGAGGGAGGATATTAGACAGTATGCCTTGTCTTTCATACAGCTGGTGTTTACTCACTATTTGTTTTTCTGTGTATCTATTAGAACTGAGCAGATTTACAGCCTCCATGTGACCAAAGTCAATGTCATGCCCCAGGAGAAAGATGAAAAGCAGCTTGCAGACGTATTTTTTCTTACTGTAGCCATCCAGAGCCTTGTCACCTAGAAAGCAAGGAAAGAAAGAGTAATTAAGCCTCTGTTGTTCCTATATTTCATGTACTCTTCTGAGGCCTGAGGCCTGTCCCCCTGCAAAGATAAACAGTTTCACTGAAGTACTTCAGCATGTCTTCAAGAAGGTAAAAAGATCTACTTAGTGATGATGACTGACATTTGATTCACTATGTACAAAGTGGCATTCAGAGAAAAAAAAACATTGAGAGTTCCACTTAACTAAAGTCATTGTATTTTATATAACATTACTCTTAACTTTCGCTTACTGTTAATTGAATGTTAAGTGTACTCTTGTGTTTTTATAATGTGCAAAGTACTATCCCACATGTATAAGTATAGGATGGTGGCAAAACCATCATCTCAGTGGAAAGGTAATTTACAAAACTATAGAGGGAATGACTGTGGTAAATAAATTGTGGAAAATCTACTTAATACTCATGGAAAATGACTACAAGTATTTGCACCCTTTTGTGCTAAACATTAAAGTTATCATAAACCATCACTAGAAACAGTCAGACAAGTCAAGTAACTTGCCACTTGGAGTTAAAAGAATTGCATATACATATACATTTTTATATATATATATTTGTGGAACACATGTAGCTCATAGCACAAAAGAGCACCAGTAAATCAAAAAGTCCAAATTCTTCAGTCAGGGAAGAAAATTAGTGTAGACGCTGCTGCACACACACACTCCTTAGCTTCTGCATTTGGGGTCCAGAAATAACTGATCTGTCAAATCAGTGTGCACTCCTCAGTGACAGGCCAGTTCAGGCAGCATAGTATTGTTTAACATGAAGCTTAAACAAAGTATCTTCAAGTCTTTGCCTTTATTAAAAATACTAAATAATAAATAAAAAAAAAAAGCTCCAAGCTCTTTTCCCTTCCCCCCCCCACCTTCTTTTTTCATCTCTGATATATGAAGTAGACAGCTAAATATACAGTAAAGAAGCTTAACAGCACAGAGGTCTCCTCTTCTTCCACTCCAGCCACTGGTGGGGAAGCAGGTATCTATTAGCTCCTATTGATAATCAATTCAGTGTGAAAGACTAAGAGAAAGGTTAAGAGAAACCCCGCCACTACAAGTTAAACTTAAAAGGTTTTGAAGGAACAAAGACTAACTTAAATGCTACATGTTAAATCCAGTAATGTTAGTGAGTTAGGAGAAAGCACACTGGCACACTGAAGCAGATGATGTTTATGTCTACAGTCTGCAATTACATCACTTTTAGGAGGCTGCTTTCTCTTTTCAGCCTCTAGATTTCAAGTCGCCATTTTTTCTACATGTGTAACAAAGAGGAACTTTAGCACATGAATTCAGAAATTTAATACAGTGATCTTAAACATTTGAGTCGTTAAACAGTAGTTGATCTTGATAAATACATAAATTTGTATATATTATTTTCAACTGGCATGGACAGCAGTTGCCAACAGAAAGCTTTGCACAGCATAAAAGCAACTTCAATGTAAAAATCAACCTTCAGACCTATGCCATGGAAGCCCGAACATGCTACTCAAATATTTTATGTGGATACAGGAAGCAGTGTTACTACAGTAATTATGCTGCTAAAGTCCCGCTACACAGGATATGCTGACATCCATCTTTGCACAAGACTGCCTAAAACCAGTTTTCTTTCAGTTTGCTGAGATAAGGCTATTTTCCTGATGAGTCAGTAGCAAAAAGAATCTGGAGAGTTTGCTTTATTGGATATATGAATTAATATGAGCAGAAACAGGGTAAAACATTCAGATTAGGGAAAAACACTACATTTTTTTTCTAATTTGGAACCAGCATGATCGAAGGAAAAAAATATGCAAGGGAGGTTCTGCCATTTCCACTGTGATCTTCAAGCTATGGCTTGAGTAACAAAGGAAAAAGGCACTCCACAATTTTAAAAGGGAACCTACAGGGGAGATACACACACACACACACACATATAGGATGGTTATACCATCTTTCCAGTAAAGTAGAAATCAACAGCAGCTGCTTCCTTCCCATAACATCATGGTAGATGTACAATTTCATGCAGCTCAAGAACACCTCCTTTGCTTAGAAGAGGCAAAAAAAATAAGATGTGAGAGAGTGCAAGTTAGCAAGACTGAGTTATTATATTTTTCAGTTGTTGACTTAAGCTTTCCAACAGCTCTGTCTCCTTTAAGTCTCCTTTAGGAAAGGAAAGAATGAATGAGTAAAGTGACAGTTAGTGACAAGTCATTTGCTTTCACTGATTAAAGAAATGGGAGTTGCTGGATACCTCTATCAAATTTTATTAAAATTCACAGAAGGGGACACTAAATAAGCTGTAACCAGGGTAGCCTGGGTTCCTTTAGCAAGCCAGATCTATGCAATTGAGGACTTGCTATCAAGTTTAGTATCATTAATATCACTTGTTGCTTCTCTCAAAAGAGATGTGTAGCAGACAGATGCACTAAAAGGTGTCAGAAAGTAGCTTGACGCTTACCTCAGGACAAGCAAAAAAAAAAAAAAAAAAAAAAAAGGAAAAAAAACACACACACACAGTTTCAAAGACACAAATTGACAGCATACATTTTCAGCTGATCCATAGAATTCACATTTATAGACTGCCTTCTCTCATTTTACTGAATTGCTCATCTGCTGACTTCCTGAAATCACAAGGGAACAGACAGTATAGGACAAAGCAACCTAACCGCTTAAAGAAAAGCATGAGCAGATCAAACTATGTATGTTGTGAACTGCAGTGACTTTCACAAAAAAAAAAGTATTTGTCAGTTTGCCAATTCTTTTTTCTCATCAGGTTCAGGAACTAGGTATTTAAAGTTTCATATACTTAAAAGATATCTAAGATCTAAGGACCTTGCTAATCTGAACTCTAATACCACTTACCTGAAGCATCTTTGATAGAAACTATCAACCAAACAATCAAGCTCAAAGCACACTGCCATCTCTACATGGGAGGGACATAGGCTTTTGAAAGCAGATGCTTTGAACTATTTTTTCTGTTCTTAAGGAAAGGACTTTTCAAGTACTGATTTTACAGTTCTGTTCTTTATTTTTCCATCATAGTCTAGCAAACCACCTCCTCCCCACCCCCAGGATGGCAACCTGAAGGTTCACTTTAACAGGCAAACTTACAAACTAAGCCAAATAACAAGCACTAGTTCTCTCTAAAACTTTTATCTCTCAACAAGAATAAAACATACTCACTTCATTATCTTTTTTGTATATCATTTGTTTAGCTGCATTTGAAAAATCAGCTTTACAGTAACCGAAGTCTCTCTGTATATTACAAGGTGCTGTAAAAAAGCTTTGCTTTCCATTTGTTATGCGGGTTTCATGCTTAACTAATCAGTCCTACTCTCTCCCAGGTAGCATTTATACAGGGTTCTATTTGAAATGTTACTAACAAGTCGTGCCACTTAAGTATGTGGTTTAAAAACATACAAATAAAGACAAAACACCCACAGCTTTTCCCAAGAAGACATCTTGACAATATTTTGCTTATTCTATGCTGTCTATTGTAATACACGATTACTTTTAGCTTGGCTCATTTTTAAGTGTTTTTGTGAACATTTTCCAACAGCGCACATCAAGTCAGCAGAAACAGGAAGGCTCGGAAGAAGAGTCAGCAGCTTTTCGAGTACTACAAGCACATGGCAGACTACTTCCTCTCCTTGGAGAGCCTGCCAGGCTTTTTCAGAGGGGTGGGGGAAGGCAAAGAGACTCTGAGCAGCAGATCAGCTAATAGTACTTTTACAAATTAAAACAGAGATATTACTTCCACATTTCTGTGGATCACCTTATCTACCAAAGATTTGTGATTTGTTTGATAAGAGGTCTGTAAACACTGCAGGAATTCACACCGGAATCTCTCAAGCAGCCCTCCAAAAAGGAAGAAATAAAGCACCAACATTACTAAACTTTTCAGCCTCCAAGCAGTACCTCTCACTCTAGCTTGGTCCATAAGCAGAAAAGCATTTTAATCTAATTAAGTATTCTTTAAAAAGAAAAAGAAAACAAAAAACACCCTACTGTACAGCTCGCTACCAACTAGAGTCTAGCCTCACTAGCCCCCACACAGTTAATTGTTCCTCAAAGACTATATATATATCTTCTGCTTTAGAACTCCAGTAGATTGGGCAATATCATTAAATGTTTGTGTTCAAAACACTTCTTTCCTGGGTTAAGTTGTACTGTCTAAAACTGTACAACTTAGACAGTTGTACAGTTTAGACTATATTCATTCATGCAAGTGTCAGTCTAGTGCAATACTGACCGAAGACCTACTTGTAGCTTAGCAGCTAACAAAAATACTAAATTACCTTTTTACAACTATCTACATCTTTTGAGGAATGAGGAAAATTGTTTTTTCTCCATAAAAGTGCAATTCTGTCCAAGCCTTCTAAGTGAAAAATTGACGATCTGTGGCTGAAAACCCATACATGGACCATAAATTATTATTTAGCTACCACACTGCCTCCATTAAAACAGAATATTGCTAGAGCAGCTGCATCTCAGCTGTTTAAGACTAGTTCTGTTTGCAATAGTTTGCTCTGTGAATGAAGACATGCTTTGCTTTCACATATTTAAGACAAATGGAAGACAATCTGACAGTCACCTGCTCACTAACTTGCCAGAGCAATTTTAAATCTAATTGGTGAAAGATTCACTATGCAGGATGGCAGGAAAGCAACTCACTGTTGCACAGCTTTGGTTTGAGAGAGAGATTTACAGACTTATTTTGAAACTTCTTACAAGGGGTTACTTTCGAATAATAGAGGAGACTTGCTCAAGGTTGGCAAAACAGGTGAGCCAGAGGCAAACTAGCAGACATTATTAGTTGACAGAGGGTTATTTTTCTTGCATAACTAAAAACTGCCAAGATACACTACCATATCTTAAAAGCAGCAGCTACTTTTTAAGCCTAAACATATCGCCTAAACAAAAGAAAATTAAGCTCTTATGCCAGATCTGGAAAACACAAGAAGCCTGCATCAAGCAAAAAACAAGA